GTCGGCTAGTGACCGCCGATCGCCTGCAGGGGCGGCTTACCGGAGTCTCGTCGGCACTTGACTTGAAATGGCATTTCATTTTCATTTCACCCAACTTAATTATGAAAATGATATTTGAACAGCCATTTCAGTCCTTTAAAAAGTTGCAGTAGTCTTTCCATTTTCAGTTCCTCATGCATCTTTATTTTTAAACGTAAAATTTATTTTAAGTACTTATTATGCTTAAATAGGAAAACACTGAAAGGCAGCCTGGTGGCAGCAGTGAAAGCGTTCGCTGCTAAGGGAAAGGTTGACGCTGGAACCGCCCGCCGTTTTTGCGGGAGAAGGATGTCAGGTCCTACTCTGTCTGCATCGCCAGGAGCTGGAATTTATCACAGAGCAGTGGATTTTACTGATTTGGGATGAAACACTAAATTATTTATTTTGTAACTTAAAATTTGACTCTAAAGGCTTCATTAAGATTTTTTTAAAAATACAAAATCATGCATAACCCTACCTAAACGTCTATATCTATGTACTTTCTTAAATTTGTCTTATTTAAATGATAAATATTTTTAAGGTAATCTTGTGGCTACTTAAAAGTTTTTTTGGAAATGATTAAATTCATGTTGAAATGTTTGAAATATTTTCATGTATTTGATTTTAATAGTTTGATTTTAAAAACAAAGGGAAAAAAATGAAAAAAGACCGCAGCCTGCCTGCACACTTGAACTGTTGCATATACATCAGCAGAAACTGGAAACAAATCACTGAGGCAGGAGCCCATTGCAGTAGAATGGATGTATCAGGTGTGGTGTTCTACCCACTGGGAAGCTACCCAGGAATAAAAGGGGAGATTATTTAGAATGACTCTCACCAACGTGGAAGCAGGACCTAAGGGATTCCCTTTTGGTGGCAGTTCAGGAAAATTCTTATATTGGGTAAAATTGACACAGATGATCCCTTTTACGCACAGTTAAAAAATCCTGTTGATATGTATGTGCACCTTAAATGGCAAAGTGCAAAGACAAGCAAGGCAGTGGTCCTTCTGGACATCAGGTGGGAATACCATTGGCAGGGTGAAGGACAGGTAAGGTGTCTGGGTGGTAGTCACACAGGAGAGTTTGCATTGTACCAACAAGCCTGCAGTATGAGAGCTGTTATTGCATGCTCTTTTTCCTCTGGGTAAATGTTACAGAGATGCCTGATTATAAATTGTATATGTATGTATGTGTGGGTTAGGCAATGATTGGTAAACTTCCTGTATTTTACAGTTTCACAAATAAAAATGAGACAAATACAAATAAAAATATCACCCTACCCTGAACTCCAGTCCAGTTCTTAGTCTGAAATCACTCCCCCACACACACCGCTTGTGTCAACTTCTTATGTGTCCTGGAGAATTGCTGTGTGGAGTCTTATTTCCAGTGTTAATTTCACAAGTCAGGGCAACCGCATGACTTCAGCAGCTTCCTCCCAGCTGCCTGCAGCAGATCAATTCCTCAGTGGTCCTGTCCCAATACAGCAGCCAGAAAGGTCTGGGAACACCTGAGTCAGGTCATGTTCCTAATCTGCTCCGAGGCCTCCGTGGCACCCACCTCATTCTGAGTGAAAATATTCCCAAATGAATACACACACTTAATGTTTTTAAATTAATAATTACACTTAGACTTTTATTAGGTTAAAAACCTGCAAAACATCATGGGAAAGTTATCTGTTATTTAACAAAATTGGTAAGGCTTGCTAAAACAAGGCCTCAAAATATTGGTTCAAGACTCCGAATTGTTCCTCTCCATGGAAATCTTTAGTAAAAGGTAGAAGATTTATACGATCTGAAGGTGGGTCGGGGACGATGAGACTGGCTCAGGATAGGGCAGTGTCCATTCAGAGCTATAGTACATAGGGTCACTGTGAGTCGCAGGCAATATATATATTCTATATATAGTTAAGTATAGAGTCGCTATGAGTCACAGGGAACTCAATGGTATATATATGTGTGTGTGTGTGTGTGTGTGTGTGTGTATATATATGTTGTTTTTTATTTCTAGTTGAGCATGGCTCAAAGCGACCCTATAAACAAAAGGCCTGAAGGCTTTTTTAATTTATTTTTAAAAAATTTTATTATTTGTGTGTGTGTACCGTCAAATCAGATCTGACTGGTACAGGAGGAGGTTGCCCCTCCTTCTCCAACAGAGGATCTGGTGGATTCGAACTGCATACCTCTGGGATTGCAGTATAGCTTCTTGCCACTAGGCTACCAGAGCTCCCTGAAGCCTTTCTATAACTATCATCATATATCAAAGTTCATAGAGTTTCCAGAGGCATGTTGTTTAGGAAGTGGATGCCACTCTTGCTTCCAAATATACACCAGGGATGACAGAAGCCTTTGAACTGTGGTGCTGGAGAAGAGTACTGAATAGACTATGGACTGCTAGGAAACAAACAGGTGCAACCTGGAGAGGGTGAGATCAAGTTGCTCCTTGGAGTCAAGGATTCTGAAGCTTCATCTGACATACTTTGGACATGTTGCAAGGTGGGATCAGTCCTTGGAGAGGGACGTCATGCTTGGGAGGGTGGAGGGATGGCACAAGAGGGGAAGGCCCTTTATGAAGTGGATTGATTCAGTGACAAGGGTAATGGGGTAGGTATGTCAGAGACAAGATTGGCACGGGATAGAGCAGTGTTTAGGGCTGTTGTGCATAGGGTCATTATGAGTCACAGGAGACTCGATGACACATAACAACAACAACAACAACAACTGTATATATAATTTTTTAAAATACTATTGAGTCAGAACCAAACCTGCTGACCTCCAGCAGGTTTTAAGAGGTAGTTAATAGAATGGGAGGAGATTGTCTATCCTGTGAAGCAGCTGGTGGATTTGAACCATGTGCCTGCAGGATTGCAGCACAGCTTCTTGCCACTAGGAGATAGAGAGAGGGGGAGAGGGAGAGGGAGAAAGAGAGGGGGAGTGGGGGGGTGGAGAGAGAGATTGGCAGCACTGTGATGGATGGAGAAGAAATTGAGATTGTTGACAGTTACAGCTGTAATTTAGTGAGAAGCAACAATGTCAGTTTAGAGTATAAGGTGCACTTGATCCAGGCCATGGTCTTCATAATTACTTGCTATGCATCAGAGAGTTGGATAATGACTAAGGATGACAAAAGAATTGACACCGTTGAGTGGTGGTGCTGGAGAAGAGTCTTGAAGATACTATGAACTGCTAAGAAAACAAATAGATCTGTCTTGGAGAGGATGAAACCAATTTTCTCCTGAGAGGCTAGGATTTTGAAGCTCCATCTCACATATTTTGGATATGTGGCCAGGTTGGACTGATCCTTGGAATAGGACATCATGCTCAGAAGAAGAGTAGAGAGACAGTGCAGAGAGGAAGACCCCAGATGAGATGGATTGATACCTAGGGCAATGGGGGTAGGTGTATCGGAGTCAGTGAGATTGGCTCAGGACAGGGCAGGCTTCAGAGCTGTTGTACATAGGGTCGCTATGAGTGGCAAGTGACCAGATGGCACATAACAGCAACACATATATGTGTCGTGACTCGTAATAACCCTTTGTACACACCTAGCCTCATTGTCCCAGTTACTGTGTCAGTCTTTCTCATCCAGGGTCGTCTTCTCTTATGCTATCCCTCCACCCTTCAAAGCATGATGTCCTTCTCCAGGGACTGGTCCCTCTTGGCTAACATGCCCAAAGTATGTGAGATGGAGCCTCAAAATCTTTCCTCCAAGGAGCAGCCTGGTTTCACTCTCTCCAAGATAAACCTATTCTGTTAGCAGTCCGTGGTATGTTCAAGACTCTTCTCCAGCACCATAAATCAAAGACATCAATTCATCTGTTGTCTTTGGTCATTGTCCAGCTCTCTGATGCATAGCAAGTAATGGCGAAGACCATGGCTTGGATCAAGTGCACCTTAGTCTGTAGACTGACATCGTTGCTCTTTAGCACTTTGGAGAGATCCCTGCCAACAGCTTTCCCCAGAGCAATTAATCTTTTGATTTTTTGACTGCTGGTGCCAAGAGTGTTGATTGTGGAGCCTAGTAAGCTGAACTGTTACCAACCTCAATCTCTTTTCTTTTTTTTTTTTAAATTTATTTTTATTTTATTATTTTTGTGTGCGTGTACCGTCAAATCAGATCTGACTGGTACAGGAGGAGATTGTCCCTCCTTCCTCGGCAGAGCATCTAGTGGATTCGAACCGTGCGCCTCTGGGACTGTAGTTGCAGCTCCTTGCCACTGGGCCACCAGAGCTCCCCTCAATCTCTTTTCCATCTATCATAGTGCTACCAACTGGCCCACTGGTGTGAATTTTTGTCATCTTGATGTTAAGCTTCAATCCATAATGAAGAGTGTAGTACACACACACTTATATATAAATATATATATTGTCTACATAAATGGTATCTTGCACGTATTCATTTGCAACTAGTCTTTTTCCGCTCAATCTTCTGTTTTGCAGATGTTTCCATTAGATCCTTGTAGATTCACTGTTCCTGCTTTGTAGCTAACATCCCATCCTAGTTGTGGGTGTGGCTCATTATAGGCGCAGGAAATCATCAAGATAGGTTACAACCAGCATTTGTTTTTAATCAAATAGAAAAGGTAGATGATACCAGATTGTATCACACTGTTAGGGAGAGATTGTTTTATGAAATCTTTATTGCCACCACATGTATGTCTGGGTATGCTGGAGTTCCATATTACAAATGCTGCTAACCTTCTCTAACAAGTATTTTATTAAGTTCATAGATCAGAAATCAGACCAGTCACAATGGGGAAGGCTTGTCTCCACTCCCTGTTGATTACTTCCCCAGCCAGAAAGAATGGAAGATTGGGGTGACATGATTTCTGGAGACCAGAATCACCAGAATCTTCATGCTGTTAAGTGTCGTCAAGTTAAGTACAGCTCACAGTGATTCTATAAATAATAGATCTGAACACTGTCCTATCTTGTGCCATTTTCACACTTTCTGACACATTAGAGCCCATTGTAGCAGTCACCGTGTCAATCCACTTGGTTAAGGGTCTTCCTTTTCTTTGTCGACTCTCCACCCTCCCATGTATCATGTCCCTCTCCAAAGAATAGCT